TGTAGAGATGAGGTCTCGCCAAGTTGCCCAGGCGGGTCTTGAACCCGCGGGCCTCGAACCCGCGGGCTCAGGCAATCCACTCACCTCAGCCTCCCAAAGCATGGGATTACAGGCTGAGCCACCGAGCCTGGCTGATTTATCAATTTTAAGCACCGTTATAATTTTTAAAAAGATAAAAACATGGGGCCAGGCACAGCGGCTCAAGCCTGTAATCCCAGCACTTTGGGAGGTCGAGGTGAGGGGATTGCCTAAGCCTACGTTCGAAAACAGCCTGGGCAACTTGGCGAGACCGCATCGCTACAATAAAAATTTTAAAAATACCCAGGCGTGTTATCACACGCTAGTAGTTCCAGCTACTTGGAAGGCTGAGGTGGAAGGATTGCCAGAGCCCTGCAGGCTGATGCTGGGGTGGCGATGAGTATGCCACTGCATTCCAGCCTGGGCAATGGAGTGAGACACCAACTCAAAAAAAAAAGAAAAAGAAAAACATGTAAAAGGCAAAGCTCATACAAGAAAGTTGTAAAAAGGGTCAGAAGTGCAACTTTTGCCAGCTAGAGGTTTTTAGTCTCCAGGCATTGAATTCCCGATGGTTCAGGCATGTAGGTGTTCTCAGATCCTCAAACAATCCATTTGCTGAATGGGGAAATAGAGGCAGTTATTGTTTTGGTTTTGAAGCAAACATCACAACCCATGACTGGTAATCTTTCATAATATTTTTTTCTGAGTTGCAATGTATTTGTATGAAAAGTTGTATAAAATGATAAAGATGAAATTAGTTTTACATTTAGTGAATAGCTTCTATTAAAAATAATAACAATTATACAAAAAGAGAGAGGATGAAACTTAGCCACCCCACCACACACACACACACACACACACACACACACACACAAGTTAGGGTGAGGCACAGTGACTCACAACTGTAATCCCAGCACTTTGGGAGGCTGAGGCAGGGGGATTGCTTGAGCCCAGTAGTTTGAGACCAACCTGGGCAACATAGTGAGACCTTGTCTCTACAAAAACTCAAAGAAATTAGCGTGGCATGGTGGCATATATCTGTAGTCCTGAGCCCATTTTTTTTTTAACTTCGAAAGAAAAAATTATGTGTGCTTGGTGAAAACATTATAAGGCGTTTACTATGCCAAACACCGTTCCAGACTTTTTTCCTAATAAGTTCTCCACCCTCATGGAGCTTTCATTCTAGTGGAGAAGAAATGATATTCACATAAACAAAAACGTACAATTCCCGACTGTAGTATGTGCTATGAATAAACTAGAAGTAAGACTAGGAGATAGAGTAAAGGAGTGGGGAAGGTTTTTTTTATGTCAGGGAAAGCCTTTGGGAGCTGGTGACATCTGAATTTTAAGCTGAATAAAATGAGGGAGTAGGATATAATAAACCTTGAAGGAGGTGCATTCTAGTCAGGGGAAATGGTAAGTGAGGCAAGGTGAGTTTAGGAACTTCTAAGAACAGAAAGAAGCCAGTGTGGCTGAGTACAGTGAGCTAGATAGAGCGAGTGAGGGAGGAGATGAAATGGGAAAGGTCGGCAGGTACCAGAGTTTTACAAAAGCTGAGATTCTGAAACCACAGTAAACATGGGAGATATTACAGGATATCAGTTACTCCTGGCATTAGAAACAAATACACAAGATTTTTAACCTTTATTTTTAAAATTATAAATGTAAAATTGGCTTAAAGAAAATGTGGTAAATATAGGAAAGTATAAAAAAGAAAAGAAAAAGAAAATTACACTTGGATATAACAACTGTTAATATTTGGCAACCTGCCCTCTGATCTTTATTTTATGTATATACAAGGGGGACCCCCAAAAACCTGGAATTTATTTATTTTAAAATTGTGTATTCTTACATGTTTAAACTTCAGTCACCTTCAAAGTATTCTCCGTTTGATGCAATACACCTATTGAGATGCTTTTGCCACTGTTCAAAACAGTTTTTGGACTCATACATTTTGATGCCTTTTAGTGCTTTACCTTGTCCACGTTGGCAAAACGTTTCCCTTTGAGGACTTTTTTCATCTGGGAAAACAAAAAAAAAGTTACTCAGGGTGAGATTGGGTGAATAGAGTAGGGCACCAGAATCATGCTGTTTTTGGTCAAAAACTGTTGAACACTCACAACAATGTTAGCTGCTACACTGATGCTGATGGGTTCCTAGAACACATACCTAGTGGGGGAAACCTGTACTAGGAGGGGCTCATCCTCCAGAAATTAATTCTGGGTTTTTTTAGGTTCCCCCTCTTATATATACACATAGTTTGCATTACTTGTGTATTTTAATATGTATTTATATTTTATATTATTGGTTTAAACAAAGTGATTTTTGAGTCAAGATCTCACTTTGTCACCCAGGATGGAGTACAGTAGCTTAATCACCACTCACCGCTGCTTCTAACTCCTAGGCTTATGTGACTTTCCTGCCTCAGTCTCCCGTGGAGGTGGGACTGCAGGCACATGCCACCATGGCTGGCTAATGTTTTAATTTTTTGTAGAGACGAGGTCTCGCTGTGTTGCCTAGGCTGGTCTCAAATTCCTGGACTCAAGCAATCCTCCCACTTTGACCTCTCAAAATACTGGGATTACAGGCATGAGCCACCATGCCCACCACAATTTTATGTTATTTATAGCATGAGTTTTCATCAGATTTGTTTTCATCTTATGTAGATGAAATATTATACAATATTTATCAGTTTTCATCTTATGTAGATGAAATATTATACAATATTTATATATAATGCATATAGCATAATCATGTATAACAAAGTAAATTGACTTATAAATATGTTTATATTTACATATGTATCTATATAAAATACTATACATTTTATAATGTATAATTACAAATATGTACTGTATGTATAAAATTATTTATAGAATATATATGATAAATATATTTGAAAAATTTGCATATAAATGTTATATTTACACAAATATGCTATAAATGTAAATGTTTCACATGTTAACATAATGATATAATATACTATAACTTTATTATATCAATCAATTGTGTGCATTACATGTTATTTTCTTATAACATACAATATTTAATCAGTATATTAAAAGCATTTAATATATTTGTAGCATACGTATGCAAATATGTACGTATAGATTATATTGCATATGAACTACATAACATAATTTTTTAATTTTCTTTTGAGCAGGATTCTCACTCTGTTGCCCAGGCTGAAGTGTAGTGGCATGCATATGGCTACCACAGCCTCGATGTGCTGGGCTCAGGTGATCCTTCCGCCTCAGCCTTCCAAGTAAATGGAACCATAGGCATGCACCACTATGCCTGGCTAGTTTTTTGATTTACTGTAGAAACGAGGTCTGGCCAAGTTGCTCAGGCTGGTCTTGAACCCCTGGGCTCAGGCAATCAATCCTTTTACCTCTGCCTCTCAAAGTGCTGGGACTACAGGCATGAGCCACCACGCCCAGCTTTTTTTTTTTTTTTTTTTTTTTTGAGTAGGTATCTCACTGTCACCCAGGCTGGAGTGCAGTGGCATGCTCATGGCCACCACAGCCTTGGCCTGATGGGCTCAGGCGATCTTCCACCTCAGCCTTCCAAACAGCTGGATACACAGGCGCACAACACCATGCCCAGCTAATTTTTTGATTTATTGTAGAGACAAGGTCTCGCCAAGTTGCCCAGGCTGGTCTCAAACCCCTGGACTCAGGCAATCCTCTCATCTCTGCCCCCCAAAGTGCTGGTATTACAGGCATGAGCCACCATGTCCAGCTGCATATTATAATTTATACTAAATAAATATACTTACATATTTGTTTAGAAATAGAATTATTTATATAGCATATATTCTGTTGTATGTAGTTCGGATTTCTACATTTTATGTATTACAAATTATTATAAATATATAATATGTAAATTCAAAATGTATGAAAATATAAATAGACATAATATGGCTATATAGTGGGTCTTTTGTTATATATACATGGGTCAGAATCCTATGATATAAACATTTGAAAACGTTTATATGATGAGAGACTGTCCATGTAATTGTTAATAAGATCTATATATTATTAATGTAGTAAAATGTTAAGCATATAGTAAATGCCATATAAATGATAGATATTTTTATTATTAGTTATTATCACCAATAGACTATTGAATATTCATCTTGTGTCAGGTGTCACCCTCTGTGCTTTAGGTGCATTGTCTCATTTAATGCTTGTGTTAGTCCTAGGAATAGGTAATTTTGTTATTTGTTTTCCTGAAGAAGGAACGGAGGCCTAGAAAGGTTAAACCCGGCATTTGTGGTATGAGTGCACTATGGAATGTCCTGTGCACATAGGAAATGTAGCAGTTCTCCAGATCTTGGGTGTTTTGTTTCTGGGACGCTTGCATTTATTCTTACAATATCCTGTTGGTTTTCTGAGAAGTTTTTGCAGCTCGGGGGCAGTCCTGGAGGTGGGTGGAGCTCAGGTGATGGCTCCCACACTCCTGCAGCTCACGCGGGATGTTTCTTCCCTTCTTCCCACAGAAGGATTTACTCCTCAGGGAAATTCCAAGCAGCACCACCTCGCTCTGTTCCAGAAAGACGGATGTGGAGAAGGTGATGGCAAAGGAGATCTGCCAGAAATACCTGGAGAAGGGAGCAGGGAGGCTGCCGGAGGACTGTGCCGAGGCCCTGGCCACCGCTGCCTGCCTCTGCCTGAGGAGGCGGAATGCTAGCCTGGAGGAGGTGAGCCTCCCCTCAGCTGGGCCTCACTACCTGGGGGCCACCTGGATCTGCCTTCCCAGGGATGATCCCTTTTCCTAGATATAATTTCATAAACCAGGGCTGTATTTGGTTGCAAGCAGCAGAACCTACTGGAGCTCATGTCAGCTAAAAAGGCAGTGTGTGGGTCATGATGGCAGGTATGTGGCTGGGCCTCCTGGAGCAGAACCAGACCCTCAGATGGTGACAGAACTCTTCCAGCTCTCTTTGAATCTGCTTTATTCCTCTTCTTCTCTCTACAGGCCCTCTTTCTCTTTCTTCCATTCTCTTGGTGAGGGAATATGGCCACCTCTATTTCCATGTTATAGTTCTACCCCTACTGAGAGACTAAATCTCCATAATCCCAGTTCTTTTTTTTTTTGAGTTGGAGTCTCACTCTGTTGCCCAGACTGGAGTGCAGTGGCCGTTCCCGGCCACCGCAGCCTCGACTTTCTGGGCTCTGGCGATCCTTCCACCTCAACCTTCCAACTAGCCGGAATTACAGGCATGCGCTACCATGCCCAGCTGATTTTTTGATTTATTGTAGAGATGAGGTCTCACTGCCCAGGAGGGTCTCGAACCCATGGGCTCAGGCAATCCACTCACCTCAGCCTTCCAACTAGCTGGAATTACAGGCATGCGCTACCACGCCCGGCTGATTTTTTGATTATTGTAGAGATGAGGTCTCGCTGCCCAGGAGGGTCTCGAACCCGCGGACTCAGGCAGTCCACTCACCTCAGCCTCCCAAAGGCGCAGGATTACAGGCTGAGCCACCGAGCCCGGCTCATAATCCCGGTTCTAACCTCTCAGAGAGAGAACCTGATTGGCCTAACTTGGGTCAGGGACCCACTTCTTGACCAATCAGGTAAGGTGGGGTGCGTCTAGTATATAATCCTGGCTGCCAGGGGCCCAGCCCCTGGATGGGGGCAGGGTCAGGCACCAGACAAAGGGAGCTTGCTCAGTCCATGTGGTAGGCAGACATCCGGAAAGCAACTACCACAGGGGAAAAAACATTTTCCTATGGACGTGGTAAGTAGAAGTGGTTCTTATGGTAATAGGTGTAAATCTGTGGACCATTGCTAGAATTCCCACTGCTTGAGAGAGGGCCTTTCGAGATTATCTAGCTGAGTGATTTTCAAGTGGTGTCTGGCACGGTGCCTCAGGAGTTGGCTGTTGGCAACAAGAAGGGTTGAGGGAGCTGCAAGCCCCTCCGCCTATGACTCTAACCAGACACCCACCTTCACTTCTTACAATTACTATTTTGGGTTCTCTTGTATTTTATTTGAGGAAGGGGTTTGGTAGCTGAAAAAATCTTCAGAAACCAGCCAGGCATGTTGACTCATGCCTGTAATCCCAGCATTTTGGGAGGTGGAGGTGAGAGGATTGCCTGAGCCCAGGGGTTCGAGACCAGCCCAGGCAACTTGGTGAGCCCTTGTCTTTACAATAAATTTTTAAAAATAGCTGGGTATGTTGGTGCACACCTGTAGTTCCAGCTACTTGGAAGGCTGTAGTGGGAGGATCGCCTGAACCTAGCAGGTCGAGACTGTGGTGGCTGTGAGCTTGCTACTGCACTCCAGCCTGGGTGACAGAGTGAGACTCTGACTCAAAAAAAAAAAAAAGAAAAGAAAAGAGGGGAATATGCTCAAGGAAAAGTGAGGGTGCCTTAAGAGAAAGAATATGTGCTTGCCTTTGACAAGAAGCTTTATATAAGTATACAACAGTGATTATGTAAACCATGAGCTAAAAGGTGTGGGCTGAAGGTATCTGGTCACGAGTTTTGTCTACCATCTTTCAATCTTCTAAGCTCACAAAGACCTTCTAAATAATGAAAGTTATTGCCTAACTAGATCTGGGCCTTTAAAGAATATCATGTCTGTATTTTGAATAACTTTCTATTGTTTCTGTGATATACTGTGCTGGCAGATCCACACTCCAGCCTGTAAGGTGGTCAGGTCTGGTATGTGTGGTCAGTTGGGTAAAGGTCATGTACTGTTAGGAAGATGTCTGAATGCTTAACCTATTTTACTTTATTATTATTATTAATTAATTAATTAATTTTTTTTGAGTTGGAGTCTGCCTCTGTTGCCCAGACTGGAGTGCAGTGGCTGTTCCTGGCCTCCGCAGCCTCGCCTGCTGGGCGCTGGCAATCTTTCCGCCTCAGCTATTATTATTTGTTCTTTTGAGACAGGGTCTCACTCTGTCACTCAGGCTGAAGTGTGATGGCACGATCCTGGCTCACTGTAGCCTCAACCTCCTGGACTCAAGTGATCCTCCTGTCTCAGCTTCCCAAGTAGCTGGGACCAGAATCATGCTCCATCACACCTGTCTGATTTTTGTATATTTTGTCCAACGAGGTTCTCACGATGCTGTCCAGACTGCTCTCAAACTCCTGGGCTTAAGCAGTCCTCCCACCTTGACCTCCCAAAGTGCTGAGATTACAGGCATGAGCCACAATGGCCAGCTTGCCCTATTTTAATTTAGATCTGCCCGCAAGGAACTTATCTATCTAAGTCTAAACTACTCTGGCTAACTTGCCTCAGATCTATCAGTGAACAAGACAGAGTCAGTTCCACTTTCCTGGAGCTCATAGACATTGTGCAGTAATTGTCTGTGTGGTGAGTGCCAGGATAGTGTGATGGGGACTCCGTCCTGTAGACCTTCCCGAGAATGTGAGGTTTAAGCAGACAAAGAGCAGTCCCAGCAGAAGGAACACCTCATGGGACTAGCCTGAGCTGAGAGAGAGCGAGTCTGGCCCATTCAAGGGCCTGGAAGAAACTCAGAGTGACTAGACACAAAGTGGCTTGTGATGAGTTTGGCAAGGAAGGAGCAGCCTAATAACAGAGGGCTTTGTAGGCACACTAAGGATTGTTGGAGAGTCACTAAGGATTTTAAGCAGGGGCAGGACATAATCAGATTCATATTCTAAAAAGGTCTCTCTCCCTCAACCACTTAATCTTTCATTCAGACCTTCATATCTTTATTTATTCCATTTATTTGTTCAGTGTATCAGTTAATGTATGAATGAAGCTACTATAATGAGGATACTCCAAAATACAGTGGTTTAAACAAGATAGAAGCTCTTCAGCTTAACAGTTTGAATGTAGGAATTACGGTGCTGATGTGGCAGTACCATAGTATTGGGGACCCAGACTCCTATGTTGTTGTTATGCTATTCTTACCATGTGGCTTCTGTTTCAAGGTTCAATATGGCTTCTGTTTCAAGGTTCAATATGGCTGCTGTAGCTCAGGCCATCACATCTGCATTCCAGCTAGTGAAAGGAAAGAGACACACTTCCTTTCTTTTATTATTTATTTATGTAAGAGACAGGGTCTCAGTTTGTTGCTCTGGCTGGTCTTGAACTCCTGGGCTTAGGTGATCCTCCCACCTCACCTTTACAAAATGCTGCGATTACACACATGAGCAGCTGCACCTGGTCCCTTCCTTCTAAAGATGTGATCTGGAAATGCATATATCACTTTTTCTCATATAGTGTAGACCAGAACCTAGTTACATGACCACAACTAACTACAAAAGAATGCAGTCTCTAGATTGGTAAATATTTATTGGCCATAGACTGTAAAGATTTACAATGTAAAGAGGTAACATTTGAACTAACCGGGCCTTAAAGGATGAGATGATATTTGTCATGTTGAATAAAGGGAATAGGGCATGGTAGGCATACAAAAAGGTGTAAGACACGGTCCTTGCTCCTAGTACAACTAAGCTAGGAAAATGAGATACCTACTGAGTTATGGACTGAAAGACAGGCAGCCCTGTGTTCAGTGGCCCGCTTTGCCACTTACTGGGTGGATGGCTTTAGAAAGAGTGCTAAACCTTTCTGTTCTTTTAATTTTTTAATCTGTAAAATTTCATGCATTGTGTGTGAAATGTTTAAACTCATATGCTGAATTTTTTGCAAGGCACTAGACAATGAGATTTGTTATTATTCTAAGGGTATAAAGGTATGCATATGTGCCCTTTGTGTGTATGTGTGTGTGTGTAAAGAAGAAAGATTCTTCCCCTGCTTCCCTTTAATTTTCCTAACTTCCCTAACCTGAAAAGCCTTCGAAGGTAACATCTGTATTACTTAATGCATTTCTGGTTGAAAGTGTTAGAAACTCAAACTGTCAGACACAGACACACACATGGACATAGGGAGGGAGGAAAGGAGAATATGAATGAGGGAATTAGTGAGTGATGAACTTAGTGGCTCATTTAACCAACAGCAGAGAGGACAGGCATCGCTCTGGTTTCAGGGAAGTTAGACCCAGGGTCTCAAATGCTAAAAGTACAGCTATCTGTGTCTCTGTGACCGGGGCTTTCTTTCCATTGTCTGCCTCTGCTTTACTTTGTGTTGAGGCTTCATTTTCCACTACTGTAAATGGGCTTTCCATGTTTGAGGAGTCTGGTTCTGCCACTAGGAAGGAAAAGGAGGGGTCTTTCCCTAGTGAGCTCTGGGGGAGCGGGAATCCCAGGGAAGGATTCTGATTGGCCTGTTTGAGTCACGTGCCCCAAGCCTGGCCCAATCCTAATGGTCAGAGAAATGTGGTGCTTTGGTCCCTCCTGGATCTTGTGATTTCACTGTGGTTGGATAGGTGGGCGGGGGCAATGTTTTGTTTTGTTTTGTTTGAGTTGGAGTCTCACTCGGTCGCCCAGACTGGAGTGCGGCGGCCGCTTCCGGCCATCACAGCCTCGACCTGCCGGGCTCCGGCGATCCTTCCGCCTCAGCCTTCCGAGTAGCAGGAACTACAGGCGCGCGCTACCACGCGCGGCTGATTTTTTGATTTATTGTGGAGAGGAGGTCTCGCTGCCCAGGCGGGTCTCGAACCCGCGGGCTCAGGCCATCCACTCACCTCAGCCTCCCAAAGGCGCGGGATGACAGGCTGAGCCACTGAGCCCGGCAAGGGGGGGGCAATGTTTTTTAAGGAAGGGTGCTGTTTTCCCAGAGGAGGCAACAAGCATTTGATTCTTCAGTGTCTTTCTCTCCCTCTTCTGAGGCCTGGGAGACCAGGCATTAGACTTTTGGTTTTAGGAAGAGTTCCTGATGAGCACTCTTGTTCCTCTCCTCCTCAAGGTGTGTGCCTCTGTGGCGGTGGTGGAAGAGCGCCTCCGAGGTCAGGAGCCATTACTTCCTTGGAGTGGGCTGTCTGAGGGCATAGGCTTTTCCTCCAACACCCCAGAGGAAACAGACGATGTTGACAATTCCAGCCTTGATGTCTCCTCCTCCGTGAGGACTGCACCCTCTGCGGGGGCAGCCGCCTCCCTTCTCCCCACAGAGAATGGGGAAGGAAGGCTGCCGGCCAGCGGGGGAAGAGAGGCTGACTCCTCCTCTGAGGCCTGTGCAGGCCCGGAGCCTCCCCGGGATGGTAAGTCGTGGAGGTTGGAGTGCTCGTACGCGTTCATGTGTATCCCTAATTTCAACCCGTCATTTATATTTCTTTCTTTTTTTTTTTGAGTTGGAGTCTCATTCTGTCACCCAGACTGGAGTGCAGTGGCCGCCCCCGGCCACCACAGCCTCCACCTGCTGGGCTCCGGCAATCCTTCTGCCTCAGCCTCCCAAGTAGCCGGAACTACAGGCGCGCTACCACACCCGGCTAATTTTTAATTTATTGTAGAGAGGAGGTCTCGCCAAGTTGCCCAGGCGGGTCTCGAACCCGTGGGCTCAGGCAATCCACTCACCTCAGCCTCCCAAAGCGCGGGATTACAGGCTGAGCCCCCGAGCCTGCCTCATCATTTATATTTCTATCGCCCTCATTCACTCCTCCGTTTGGTTATACAGCCATACATGCACTGAGCCGATCGCACAGAGAGAAACCTGTGAGTCATCCTTTTTCTTCCCTCCCCTGTGTTCAGTTAGTCACTCAGTCCTATCCCTTTGCTTCCTGAATCTCGCTCACCTCCATCTACTTTTCTTTCTGCATTGCCGCCCTTATCTGAGCTACTGTCCTCTTGCTGGGATGACTGCACAGCCTCCTCTGTTCTGCTGGACCCCCTCTGGCCCCTCCCTTATCCATTCTTTCTCCAGCAGATAGCAGAGTGACTTTTAAAGACACAATCTATGCCGTCTCTTGTTTAAAGTCCTTATTGCGCTTAGGGAAAGTCTGAACTCTTCCCAGTACCAGCAAGACCCTATGTGGTCCTTTCCTGCTCGCCTTTCCATCCTCATTTCACAACCCAAACCTCATTCTCACCAGCCATTTCTGAAGATACCTTGCATTTTTGCCACTCAGGTCCAAATACCAGATTTCCTTTTGAAATATAAAACAGCATGCCTTTTCTTTTTCTTTTTTGAGTTGGAGTCTCACTCTATCACTCAGACTGGAGGGCAGTGGCACGCTCCTGGCCACCGCAGCCTCGACCTGCTGGGCTTAGGCAATCTTTCCTCTTCAGTCTTCCAAGTAGCTGGAACTGCAGGCACTCGCCACTATGCCCGGCTAATTTTTTGATTTATTATTGTAGAAATGAGGTCTCACCAAGTTGCCCAGGCTGGTCTCGAACCCATGAACTCGGGCAATTCTCTCATCTCGGCCTCCCAAAGTGCTGGCATTGTAGGCATGAGCCACCATGCCCGGCCCAGAATGCTTTTTCAATGAAGTGTCCTTGTCTCTTAGTAAACATGGTCACTAAATATCCCAGACTCTGACCTCCTATTGCTCTGCTCCCCTTGCTCCTCCTCCCATGGGAAGGAGAGAGGAAGAAGAGAGGGGTTGTGAGCTGTTGTTTACTCCAGCTCCCCTTCCCTCACTGTGGGGAGGAGCATTGAAGCCTTCTCCTCTCTGGAAAGGTTGGACAGGTTGTAGGGTTTCCCTGAAAAAGTAGAAGAGATGAAAATGCTCATTACACTCAGGGCTTGACTCAGAAACCTGATTTAAATTAGTCTAAGAATTATAATAGTAGTAACTGTTGTCCAAGTTGCTCTTTGTTTTTTTTTTTGAGTCTGGGGTCTCACTTTGTCACCCAGGCTGGAGTATAGTGGCATGATCAGCCTGGACTGCATGTTCCAGTAGCTGAGACTACAGGAACATGCCACCATACCCAGCTAATTATTTTTTGTTAAGTCGGGGTCTTTCTATGTTGCTCAGGCTTCAACTTACTCTTTTTTACTTTTTGTTGAACATCAGCTACAGAGACTTCGTGGGAAATTGAGATCAATGAGGCCAAAAGGAAATTGATGGAGAATATTCTGCTCTACAAGGAGGAGAAACTGGACAGCATTGAGCTTTTTGGCCCCTGATGACTGGAACACAACTGAGGACCCTTGTTCTCAATTGGAAAGATGAGCACCTGATCACGAAAAAGTTCTGAGGCAGAATTCAAGACCTGCCAGGAAACACGCAACCAAACAACAGCTTTCCTAAGAGGAAGAGAAACTTTCATTTCTCCAGAATGAGTTAGGGGAGAAGGGACCTCAGCTTTTAGAGACACAGAAATTAACAAAGCCCTCTTCCTTTCTGGAATTTGTTACTCAGAATGGGTCATCAGGGGAAACTGAAGCGGAAACCCTGGTACATGGGCCCAGGATGTGGGCGATTTTGTGGTTCTAGGGAGTATGTGACGAAAACCACCCAGAAGATGCCATTACCCTAGCAGCTCTGGGCCTCCCAATAACTGATGGAGTAATCCACAATGCCTGTGGCATTTTCCAAAGTTAAGATCTCTGGGTCATATTTGCTGACAGCTGCATACACATGACCATGCTCTGAAAGATTTTCAACTTGTGTCTCAGTGTAGTTCTTGACTTACCTCTCCAGGTCTTACGTTTTATACATGCCAGATACCTGGCAAAGGACTCTGTAAGCTTTCTACTTCCTCTATGGGACATCTTGCCACCCGCAGATATTTATTAAGTGCCTGCTTAGCACCTTTATTCTCCCATCCCACCAAAGTATTGTTGTTTTTTTTTTAAGTCTCAGTCTGGCCCAGACTGGGGTACAATGGCATGATTATGGCCACTGTAGCCTCGACCTGCTGGCCAGGCTTTGGCAATCCTTCCACCTCACCCTTCTAAGTAGCTGGAGCCACAGGCATGCACCACCATGCCCAGCTAATTTTAAAAAAATTTTATTGTAAAGAAGAGGTCTTGACAGGTTGCCCAGGCAAGTCTCGAACCTCTGGGCTCAGGCAGTCCTCTTGCCTCTGCCTCTCAAAGTGCTGGCTGGGATTACATGTGTGAGCCACCACAGCCGGCCTAAAGCTAGTATTTTTCTTTTTTTTTTTTTTGAGTTGGAGTCTCACTTTGTTGCCCAGACTGGAGTGCAGTGGCTGCTCTCGGCCACCACAGCCTTGACCTGCTGGGCTCTGGTGATCCTTCCGCCTCAGCCTTCCAAGTAGCTGGAACTACGGGTGCATGCTACCAGGCCCGGCAGTTTTTGATTTATTGTAGAGATGAGGTCTCACCAAGTTGCCCAGGTGGGTCTCGTACCCGCGGGCTCAGGCAATCCACTCACCGCAGCGTTCCAAAGCGCGGGATTACAGGCTGAACCACCGAGCCCGGCTTAGTATTTTTTTAATGGAGCTTTTATGTTGAGAGTATGTGTTATTTATGGCTGGATGAAGAATCAGGAGGATAAGAATCAGACATGAGCAATCATTTCTAATTCTGCTGCTAATTAAATTAAGTCAATCATTTAATTTCTGGGACCTCCGTAAGATAACTCCTGCTGGTTCTCCCTCCCTGGACTGTTGGGAGGAAAAAGTGAGATGGTGACCACAGAAGCACTTTGAAAATGCACTTGTTCTGTTTTATAAAATAAGTAAATAAAATGTATTAAATGTGTATTTCTGCCACATACCTAATGCTTATAAAGTGGTATGTTTCTGAAAAGTCATGTTGCAAATCTTTTTGTGAAACAGATGCTATTTTAAATTCACTGGAAGAACTGTCCTATTTAAAATAATTCTTCTATTATGATTATTTTGGTAAAATAAAAATGTTTGTAAAGTCAACAGATACCTTGTAATTAGTTTTTTGTCCAGTTGAATTTATTTGGAGAAGGTGCTCTGGCCCTGACTGTTGGCTGTTAATAGCAATGCGACCTTGGGCTGAGTTAGGGAGTTACTCTGAGCCTCTGTTTTCTTATCTATACAATGGGGAGAATAAAAAGTACCTGTCTTATAGGGTTATTGTCAGTTGTGGGTCCTGCCTGGTGAAGGCATTTAGCAGCTCTCCAGCAAGGACAGCTTTGGCTTGATGTGTAACATAGCTGAGCTGGGCCCAGGTGGACAGTGACATGCATGGATAGTTCTGGTGGCTGTGATAACCCAATGAGAGTGTGCATCTTGTGCCCCAAACAGGACATGGCATGTCACAAGCACCTTACAATTATGAGCAGGGTGTTTCCAGGGTTGTTTGAACAATAGAGAGCTAACACCAGTAGGGTAGTAGTTATCCAGACATACTTGTGTTTCCAGACTAGGGCTTCATATATTTTTGGAGAAGTTCATGAACGTCTTTGAGAGTTTGGTGAAAGCTATCAACCTCTACTCAGCAAATTGTAGAGGAATTCCAGGGATTTATGGGCACCATGATGTGTTTTCATGGATCCTTCCAGAGGGAAGGCCTGAATTTTCTTTTTAAGTTAAAGACACATGATGAAAAAAAAATCCAAATTGTACAAAGACTACCACTTAGTCTCCAATTTATCCTTCCCAGAGGCAGTCACTGTCACTAGGTTGGCATATCCTTCCAGGGATGATAAAAAAAAAAAAAGACATGGAAATTGTGAAACTTAAGACTCCCAGGGGCCAGGTGCAGTGGCTCGTGCCTGCAATCCCAACATTTTGGGAGGCTGAGGCGGGAGGATTGCTTGAGCCCAGGACTTTGAGATTACAGTGAGCTAAGATTGCAACACTGCACTCCAGCATAGCAACAGGACAAGACCTTATCTCTATTTTTAAAAAAATGTTTAAATGGTCGAGTGTGGTGGTTCATGTCTATAATCCCAGCACTTCGGGAGAGTGAGGTGAGAGGATTGCCTGAGCCCATGGGTTTGAGACCAGCCTGGGCGACTTGGCGAGACCTCATCTCTATAATAAATTAAAAAAAGTAGCCAGGCATGGTGGCGCGTGCCTGTAGTTCCAGTTACTTGGAAGATTGAGGCAGAAGGATCACCTGAGTTCAGCAGGTTGAGGCTGCGGTGGCCATGAGCATGCCATGGCACTCTAGCCTGGGCTACAGAGTGAGACTCCAACTCAAAAAACGGACAAAAAAATTAAAAACAACAACAACCACCATTTTTTGAAACTTGGTACTCCACTTAAGCATTTCCATCAGGGAGATGGAATTCAAAACATCAGTGAGATACCACTTCACATTCATTTAGCATAAGTACAATAAAAAAGACAAAAAACAAGCATTGGCCAGGATGTACAGAAATTGGAGGTTTTATATACTGCTGGTGGGAATGTAAAATAGTGACTGCTTTGGAAAACAGTTTGACAGTTCCTCAAGATTTAAGCATAGTTTCCCATATGACTAAATAATTTCATTCCCAGGTATCTAACCAAGAGAAATAAAAACATAAGTCCACACAAAATCTTGCACACCGTTTATAACAGCATTATTCATAATAGCCAAAAAGTAAAAACAACCCCAAATTCCATCATTTAATGACTGGATAAATAAAAGGTGGTATATCTATACAATGAAATATTATCCGGTCATAAAACAGAAGAGCCATACATGTTAAAACATGGATAAACCTTGACAAGATTATGCTAGGTAACAGAAACCAGGTCACAAACTGTATGATTCCATTTTAATTTTGGCAGAATAGGCAAATCTGGAGACAAACTAGATTAGTGGTTGCCTAGAAGTGTGTATGTGAGGGTTTAGAGTGAGGAATTCCTGGTATTCCATTCTTTTTCAGAGTAATGAAAATATTCTAAATTTTTTTTTAGAGGGTCACTCTGCCTAGTTGGAAGTACGGTGACACAATTTCAGCTTACTGCAGCCTCAACCTCCTGGGCTCAAGAGAGCCTCCCCCCTCAGCCTCCAGAATAGCTGAGACTACAGGCAAACACCACCAGCCTGGCTAATTTTTTTTTTTTTTTTTTTTTGAGTCAGAGTCTCACTCTGTTGCCCAGGCTGGAGTACAGCGGCACGATCAGGCTACCACAGTCTTGACCTGCTGGGCTCAGGCCATCGTTCCACTTCAGCCTCCAAGTAGCTGGAACCACAGGTACACACCACCATACCTCACCAAGTTGCCCATGCTAGTCTCAAACCCCTGGGCTCAGGCAATTCTCTCACCTCTGCCTCCCAAAGTGTTGGGATTACAGGCGTGTGCCACTGTGCCTGGGTAGTTTTTGTTTTTTTTGTGAGATGAGGTATTGCTGTGTTGTCTAGGCTGGCTTTGAACTCCTGGGTTTAAGATATTCTGCCTCAGTCTCCCAAAATGCTAGGATTACAGGCCCCAGTCACTGCGCCCAGCCTATTTGTACTTTATTTTAATTTTTAGATTAGAAAATATAGTTTATTTAGAAAGTTAATTAGAGAGGAGATTCACCACCCCAAGGTAGGGGAGAGGGGTCAAAGCTTAGGAAAACATATCCCAGCCATAGCTCAGAGAACACGTGGTCAGACCATAACTTAGCAAGGCAGTGGCCTGTATTTTTTAAATGATCGAGGTGGAGCTCTCTTTTTCTATTTTTAAGAGACTGTCGTAATTTCTGTTCACTGGTCCCTTTGCCTACTTTAATACCGACTTATTAATTTAGGAGAATTTTTACACAGAATGTTTACATAGTAAGGACACCAGCCCTTTAATGTGTATTGCAAATATTTTCTAAATTTGTATCGTCTTTGATTTTTTTTTTTTTTTTTTTTTGCCAGGCGGATATTCTACATTTTTGTGTAGTCTTTTTTTTTTTTTTTTAATGGTTTCTAATTTTGCCACTTTCTGGGTGTGTCCCGTTTCCTGCTCTATAAGATGGGGGTTATCACGGGGCTTATCACGGGGCTTGATGATGCTCATCACGGGGCTTGGTGTGGGTTCGATGAGCCAATTCCGTCCTGAGATACCCAGCAAAGGGGTCCAGTCCTGAACAGCAGGGAACAGCGTTTCGAAATGAGCCTCTGCAGGCGACACCCACCGCACGCGGGGCTGCCCTGACGAACCGCGGTTTGGCTTCAGCTTCGCGCTCTTCCAACCCACGCGAGTGGCTCCGCCCCGTCCGCTTCCGACCAATGGGCGAGCTTCTTAAGGCGTAGGGTCCCGCCTCCAAGCGCCTTGACCAAGAGACGGGCTCCGTCTTGCTCGGAGTCCCGCCCCTCGCCGGTTGGAGCAATGGGCACCCTCCGTCGGGCGTAGGCCCCGCCCCCGCCGCTCGCCGGGGTGCGGGCCGCCGGGCTCGTTCCGGAGGGCGGGCACAGCGGAGGCCGGAGTAGTCGCCGTGCGGACGGAGGCCGGGCCGGGCCGCGGGACTCGGGCGGGCCGAGGGCCGGCGACCAGGCGGGACGCGGGGGCAGCGGGGCGGGCGTATGGGCCGCGGCGGCCGAGCGGGC